GGTGTGAGTCACTCACATGGGAGCTGAATGCTGGGCAGAGGGAGCTAACCTGAAATTAGCAACCTGTCCCCTTCCCCGTTACTCATCCTCCCTTCTTTCTTCCCTTCAGACAGGCATACATATGCACATGCTCATCACAGGTCATTAGAAGTGCTGTCACTGTGGTGACTACCAGAGGAACGCAAACACACTTCAGTGTCAGGTTTTACCTCATATCAACCCTTCCTGGATGAATTTGGTTCCTACTATTATGATACAGTTTGAAATATTTCCTCAAGAATGCTTTTATATGAAGACAACAAACCTGTTTGTCTAGTGAAGACAGTTGTAACTCCTTCTTTGGAAGCATAGTAGATGGCACTAAAACAAAACCTATATGTGTGTTTGTGTGTTTTCAGGAAACAGAAGAGGAATTGGCTGAATCAGAGGAGTACAAAGAGGCTAGAAGCATATTGGACTCAGTGAAGCTTGAAGGATGATTTCTGATGCATTTCTGTTCTCACTGTGAGATTCACTTGCTTAAATGTCCATTCCTTTCGTCAGACCTTGTTTGGAACCGTGGAGGCCAACTGAATCCATTCAAAGTCTCTTTTCTTGATGTAATTATTTCTTTTCTTTACTGCTAACGTGCCACCACATTTTGATCACGCTTCTCCTGTGTGAAAAAAATAAAATAATTCCACAATAATATTATAAAACCTTCAGTTTATTATAGTAGATTAGTGTAGTGTTTTCTTTAAGTCTTGTTTGACCTTTTATGCACTGTTTACACATTGAAACTGGGAGAAACACATGAAAGTTATCTTTTGATCTGATAGATTAATGACATTAATGGCATTAACAGTGCTGTTATTCCTGTTAGCAGCAGTGAAATGGACTGTGTCTTGATACCTACAATAAAGGCAAGAGCTCTTTTGGTAACCCTGTCAGTCATATGACAAATGTTAGTGTGAGCCATGAATGACAAAACAGGCCTGTAATGTCGCCTCTGCAGCTACATCTATTACCCAGATGGCCTAAAATAACGACACCTTACATTAAGGCTGAGGGAGTCCTTCCTAAATAGTCATACTAATAAATGAACTCAATTGCCAGACAAATTAAGGTTACATTTGACTTGATCCTTATTTTACAGATTTCGATAATTATCGGGATCACCCCAAAGTCTCATTACCGCCCTAATGAGGCGCTGCTACTCCGTGACATCTACCCCGCTCCATCTCGTTAAGGAAATCGCTCTTCAATGCTGATTATTTTATTTGGAGGTATAATTATATTTCTTTCGGATAAATCACGGGCCTAATCGAGTCCGTGCAGAGGGCAGCGGCGCTAATTGAGGCATGAGATGCGGCGGCGGGGCGCTGCACCTGCGGGTTTGTGTGACCGGAGGACCCACGCAGGCTGCTGCTGACAGCTCGGAACGTGTCGTGGCCGGATGAGAAAGTAACAGCGCAACGTGGAGAAAACACAGACCCGAAATCCCGTGTTGAAGTGGACGGAAATACTCGCGTAGACTGCATATAAAAATAAAAGCACTAATCAGACGTATTAAAGCTAATAGTGGCATGGCAGACGGTGGGGCTGATGTAGCTTTTTCCTGGTTAATCCGTTGAAATGCATTTTAATTTGCGTGCTTTGTAAACATGTTGCTCTGTAGTAATACATTTTTCAGACTGAGTACAAAGTGGACTACACATTTGCTTCTGAGATGCACGGGAACCCTGCGTTGCTGCTTTTTACAGCTGTCACCTAGAAGTTTCATTTCGCGCCTTCCAGAGTCACGTGACTTATCAGGAAATCCAATTAAGTCTTCAGAAACGACTCCTTAATGAGCTAATTGTCTGTTATAGCTTCGGAGCATGCTCGATAGCCATTTCCAACCTGAAAAAGGTTCCTTTTTATTCACCTGTTCTTTATTTGAAGTATCTACACTTAATTGTGGCATATTTTTTATTTTCCCCTATACTGTAGACAGCAGCCTTTATTTGCAAACTGTGGATTACTGTTAATAAAGTGGGTAGAGCCATACATATTCAAATTTCTATGCATACAGTGATTTTACATTTAAGGAAATGTTTTAAAGTAGGATATTATGTAACAGGCTACATAGTTTTACGCACAGCCCCCATCAGTCATTTCGGTCAACACGTTGTTTTCGTCATATTCTGCTCCTGAAACTTTGTCTGTGTCAAACTTCTTCTTTTTTTCCCCTTTTTTCATTTCTTTTCTCTCTTTTTTTTTGCCTGACGCAGAGCGGAGAGCTGTAGGTTGCAGCCGAGTTGCAGCATCAGCTGCAGCCGTTTCTCAGCTCCCTCGCCTCTGTATAACTTATTACTCCAAATACCCCAGACAGCCACCAAATCAGCTGCGTGAAACAAGAATCTCATTTGTTAAACCGGGAGCTCGTGCAGATGGAAGATCAATTGTTTTGCTCCTCAGAAATCTCGAACTGAGTGAATCCAGACTGCAAAGGCAAAGCAGGGAGAGCGAAAGAGAGAGAGAGGTTGCAAACAGTGGCCTGGGCCTTGGTTTGGCGAGCCTGCACTGTGAACCAGAAGGTCACGGGTTCAAGTGTGGTCTGTTATCAAAGGTGCCTCCATCAGCAGCAAGAACACATGGGTTTGACTACACCACCCCACACCACATCGAGCAGTGTTACATTTTTATTTTCATATATATATTTTTTTACTCTCAGTTTTATTAAAAGTCAGTTCTCATCTCCACAATGCGTGAAAATGTCTACTTTCCACTCAGATGCGCCGCATTAACTTCCGCGGGGGCGGGGGGATTTGTTTGTTTGTCTATTTTTATTTATATGACGGAAAAGATTGATGCGAGCATGTTAGAAGAATTTACAGGAGGATAAACGCAGTAGCTGTGCCTAGGTCATTTGCTTACCCTAATTAGCCAACAGCCTTTAGCAACACACACACACACACATAAAATCTATTCACGCTGTAAGGTGAAAGGTTGCATTTAATGAAATACACTGTTATATAAAAGTAGACACTAACAGTAATAATATTAAGAAGGAATTAAAGATGTATGTCTGAGTCTCCATTGCACTGAAAACATGAAATATTTTTGGTTTCATATTCTCATTAATGGCTAAATCGTTATATACAATCTAAAATAATTAAACCAGTTAAATAAACATGGGGGCCAATATTCCCAGCACTGATATTTAATAATAAATACATTAAAATAAACGTTGCATCCATAAAATAACTATCGCCTCTCCTTTATCTTTTTAGGATTAGTTTTTTTTCTTTTCGTTTTGTATCTCAGGCCCACATTCAGCACAAATATCTCACGCTGCTTGACATGTCATCATCACCTCTCACGTTGTGTCGACCTGCCGCGACGAGAGGAGTCATTCGCTCGTGTTTGTACAGCTATAAAAGCGTGCAGCTCTGGACAAGTCGTAAAACGAAGCGCACGATCCATCATCGGGGAATGTGAGGATTTGAAATGATCCTCACAGCTTTGGGGGCGTCAGGAAAACTTCCTCAAACACGATGCCAGAGGAAGAATATATTTCACTTTTGCATTCGAGTATTAATGCGATCAGTAATGACATAGACCCTTTTTGGTTTGTAAAATTTGGATTTAAAACGGCTAACTCCGGCTTAAAAAAATCTTCACAGCTACCTCAAGTCCGGCTTTCAAATGGATCCTTGGAGAGAAACAAATAGAGACGAGACATATCTCCAAGTCCCCCCCTCCCCCCCTTTGTTAAAAAATCTCTTCCACATCCCAAACAGACCCCCGAGCGCGACTCCTCTCCGTCCGTCCATCCACCCATCCCTCCCAGTGTGTCACTTGTGCCACCAGATTGCATGCAAATAAAAACTGCGCGGAGGCAACTGAAGCCCGGACGGACGAAGAAAAGACACCCAATCGAGCCCCGGGTTCACGCTCGGACGCCTCCTTTGTGTCTCTATTTTTTCCCCCAGCACACAATAAATAAACCGGTTCTCTCAAAACGTTCCGACATCTGTCTTAAGTTTTTTTTCTTTTTAAATATATAATGTAGCAGACTGTTGTGTGCATGTGTGTGTAGGCTAGTAAAAAAAAAAAAAAAAGCAGGCGTGCTAATTGAGTCTAATGGTGGTTTACTGACAAAGAGAGTTTTCAGTTAATTTTTAAAAGCTTTTTCTTGTTTCTTCAACATAATTTAGACAGATGATTTAAAAAAAACAACTGATGCCTCCCCCCATCCCCACCTGAAATTGTTGGAAACATGATTACGTGGTTGCCCGTGTTGTCAGACTATCTGTTCAGGTGTCAGACTTTCGGGTATATTAGGCTGACTGTGTCCCTTTATCAAAGGCGAGCATCCTCACTTTACTGTTCGCTGAATTAATTTGCTCACACATCATTTAGACCGAGTCTCTCCCTGCCTGACAGTTGGAACTATACAGGAGATCACATCCACTTTATACTGCTTTTATTTCAAAGTGCTCAGATATGACGAATTTTATATAAACTTGCTGGCCTTGAACATTAACCTGGTCATAAATAAAGTTAGTTGATTCCAGTAACGAGAAATAAAAAAAGAAAAAAAAAGTCTGACCTCCAAGAGGTATTTAATGTCGTAAATAGGTGGATGATATCGTCAAGCTGACTAAAAGAGAAAAGAAATGAATAAGAAGAAGCAGTATTAAAAGATGCAGACTCGTAGCTGTCATGTGGTATCTCTTTATGTGGTTCTTCCTAATACGAGTAATAATAATTCTTGTCCGAGTGGCTTGCTGTAAAAGCACGCGCAGAGCAGCGTGCGCAATTAAACAAATATTGTGGTGATCCAACATTTCTTGAGCGGGTCGAAGCTTTCGCTCAGATATTAAATCAGGTTATTTTATTGGATGTAATTTGGGGGGAGAAATCAAAGCCAATTACAGGAATGAGGAGGAATGAACTTGTGGATGTGAGAGGATGGAGGAGGAGGAGCAGGTGGAGTGGGTGCTCGGGTCTCGGGCTAAAGCTGACATACCTCAGGCTTCAACTCTGATTGGTCCTCGTTTGGAGAAGCTCATGGGTTCATTCCGTTGTTAAGCGCCTCCCCATTTCGCTAAACTACATTATAATGCAACGAACCTCCCTTTTAACCACAAACCGAATTTGCTTTCATTTAGGCTATATATTTTTCTTAAATAGGTTAAAGTCATAGAGATTTTTTTCTTTTTTTCGTTTCCTTTTTTTTTTTTTTGGGAATAGCATTTCGCCCTGGAGCGGTGCGCAATGCTATCTCATGCCGACCTCCTGGATGCTCGCCTCGGTGAGTTAACATCACCAAACTCCGGTCTTCAACTCTACTGTAAGCTGGAGGAACTTCTAATCTTAAATCAAGCTCAGAAATTGTCAATTTGCTTCTTATGTGATCTTAATGGGGCTGAAGTGAGCTAAACTCGCTTAATTCATTGGAAAAGTAATTATTATTATTATATTACTGCGTAATTTGATTTAACAATTTTCCAAGATACCAGTGTGATCAAATTGAATGAAGAGTATTTAAGGAGCAGATTGCAATGTGCATGCTGTCTCTTGAAAATAACTGCAGTGGCTGTTTCTGTTCTTTCTTTTCTTTTCTTTTTTTAAATGTCTGTATTTGTGTTGAGGCGTTTAAAGCATGCACAACAACTGCTTCATCTTCTACTGCAGCCTAAACTGCTTCAGCGGCTCCTAAATCCGCCTTTTCGCATGTAAGGCATGCTTGTTGTGTGCACTTGAATATGTCACTGCCTTTGCTTAACATGTTCCTTTTCCTTCCTGTATAGACCAAGTGTTTAATGTGCAGCTCTCACCTGCTGCGGTTGTCTGTGCAGGGATGAAGGATGCCGCGGCGGAGCTCCTGGGCCACAGGGAGGCTTTGAAATGCAGGCTCGGCGGTGGGGGACCTGACCCGGGACACTCCGGGGAGCTCGGCCCGGGCCCGGACGGCGTGGAAGGGACTACGATGCTCCCGGGTGACGATATCACCAGCGGCGGGGGATCCAACCCGGTGCAGGTGAACAGCAAAGAGCAGGACAAACAACAGCAGCAACAGCAGCAGAACAACAACAGCAACAACAACCCCAACCAGTCTGGAGGGCAGCAGCCCCAGAAACAGAAGCGACACCGGACCCGCTTCACGCCGGCGCAGCTCAACGAGCTGGAGAGGAGCTTCGCCAAAACACACTACCCTGACATCTTCATGCGGGAGGAACTGGCTCTGAGGATCGGCCTGACGGAGTCCAGAGTGCAGGTGGGGGCGGCTGGGAGTGTGATGTTGATAAGAAATGGATGAAAATTAACTTTTGAAAGCCCAGATTTGAAACATACAGGCGTTAAAAATAATATCTCCCCGAGTACCGAAAATGCAACAAAATGATACCTGCACGTTAAAGTGATTAAATATTGAACTATTTAAAAAAGCCCAAATGCTTTCATTTGGAGCTCAGTAGTTACTGCAACATAACACAATTAAGTTACTCTGCAGACGCTACAACGGCTCTTTAGAGGAAGCTTACTGAAACACTTTATTAGGATGCAAAAAAACAAACAAAAAAACAGTCAGGGTTAAGATTTTAGATTCTTTTGTTTAATTTACTCTTTTATTTTTTTCTCACAAAAACCAAATTCTAAGCTAGAGGAATGTGTTATATCAATTTGTGCAAATAATCAAGCTTATTGCTTGGTTGATATATCAAAATATTGCCTAAGAAGGAATGCAAAAAACAAGTTTTAGTATTTCACAGAATTGTAGTCATTGTAAAAAATAAAATAAAATAAACGACGTTTTATGGCATCCGTCTATTATTAATATTATTAGGTTTTTATAGTTTATTTATTTTTAATGTTAATGTGTCTGACGCACACTGCGGTTTATCTTCGCATTGAACATAACGAGTGCAGGTGTTATTAAAAAAGCTTGATACTAACATGCCATCCTTTCGTTATAAAAAAAAATAAGGTCCATTAATTGGGTTGTTTGTAGTATTTAATTTGATTTTATTCAAACTTTATAAAATATCACTTTTCTTTTAAAAACCGAGGGTGCTTTATTTTAATATTTACTTATTAAAATGGCCCAAATTCCAGTGTCTGCCGCATGTAATACATCTACAGGGAACCAAATGCTGACGGCAGCTTAATTATACTCGATTAATCGCCTCGTATCAACCTTTTAACAGTCCTGAACTAACACTGATGGTCAGTCTACAACTTCATCAGACTGCATTTCATTCTCGCTGTAATGCTGCCACTTCAGTGGCCTTATTGGATGAGAACGGCAATTGCGCTTGGATCGCTCGCATGTGAAATAATACCCCATAATAATCATTACTATTATTGCAAGAGTCCATTCAGTCCCTCCGCCATTTACATAAAATCTAAATTAGCGAAATGACGCTCATCTGCTATTATGACAGCGCTGAAAATAAAAAGCAAGATCCAGATTCGATTTAGCGATGGGCCTGTCACCGCTGTCTGCGTCTTAATGCCGGACGCGCTGAAGATGCACTCTGTCTCATTTTTATTTCTGTTTTTTAAGGGGGGATGAGAAATTGCGTTTTCTTTCCTTTGAAGTGTAATGCATTTCAGGCCGGATTTCACGGCTGGGCTACTCCGGGGGAAGAGAGTGCGATTGTCCCGTTCTTATTACTGCGCCCCACTTTCTCAACCAAATCTTCACATTAATCATAGACGCCCGCTTACAGCCAGACCCACAGAAGCACGGGGACTCCGGGAATAACAGAGCAAACCACCGCTCTACAGCAGCAATAATATTGCCTTTTTTATCCCAGGCCGGATGTAGCACAGGAATCTGATAAAATGTGGCTCAAACTATCCGACGACTGCTACTACTACTGCTACAAAT